GTGTTATACCTTAGTTACTGGACAGTTCTTATCTCAACCCATGGCAGTTACATTCTTTCAATTCTCCTCCAGGAGCAGGGGGAGGAAGAAGTGGGGGAGTGAGTGAGCAGCTTCGTGGTTCTGAGTTACCAACTGAGCTTAAACCACAGCAGTATCCTGTATTTATACTTTGATAAGTACTGAGATTAGTCATTTCAGTCTAAAACCAATCTTTTATTATAAAAATTATGAAAGAGAGAGAGAATCTGGCAGTGAAAATGATGCCTTTAACTTCCAGCCCCACAAGACTCTGCTAACTATTCTTTGAGCAATATATTCCGTTTGGTGTCTGTGGAACATGTGTGGCAAGATGTATGTGTGATTTACAAACTCCTTGCCTGGGACTCCTGGGGTAGTTAATTGGCTTTAGATATTGTTGTCGTACCATTTTGTGAATATATTAACTGTTGCTGAAGTCTTGTTTTCTTTGATTTAAATGTTGTGAAGTTTCTGAATGGATGATGAGGAATGAGATGCTGGAGAGAGTCAGAGCAGCGTTGTCAAAACTGTCAGGCTGACACAGTTCTGTTCAAAACCAGCTTAGTTTGATATGCTCAGAGAGACAAAAAGATTTCCAAAATCAGGTTGCTGAATGCCAAAATCATTCTTGATAGAGTTTAAAACTTATGCATGTTAAACACACTCATTTAACTCCCTCCTTATTGCTTTTAGAGTAAGTCTAGTTCCTTTAACAACCAGTCCATGTGAAATCCGATTGAATTTAGTAGAACTTAGTTTCTTGTGTGATCATATATGTAAGCAAACATTATGGAGAGCAGTCTAACGTGACATGTGCAGCACAGAAATATTTTCTATGGCTGTTAGGTAACCTCATGAAATTTCATACAGGTAACATTTAATTGTAGTTACTATAAATGGAAAAATAATTTCTGAAGCACGTAGTGTTTGCTTAGTTGGCTTCTGCTGAGTGTAAGAGGACATTTGCTCATCCAACCCCATCCTTTTTAAGGACAAAACTGAGTGTTTGATATGGATGCTTAGGGAACAAAATTAGTTATAGTTGAGACATGAGAAGTGTTCTGAAATTTGAAAGTGGTTATTAGAATAGAGATTACTGCTTACTGATACAGTCAGTAAAATTCTTTATGGAGGTGACTGAAGGAGGAGTAGGAAATTATGGCAAGCACAAAGCTGTAAGTGTTATGCTCAGCATTTAAAATAAGGGTTAACACATTCATTAATAACCAAAGCAGTGCTTTCTGCAGCATGAAAGTATTTATTTGGAAGACTTGTTTATACTGGGGTTGACTGAGCTAATGTAGTTACATAATGTGAGTAGTATAACTTTTTAACTGTATTTAATATTCAACAATAGGCTTTTAGTTGCATATACTCTGAAGAGCATACAGAAGCAACAGGCTTAACAAGATGGTGTCACTCGGCACCCACTGCTGGGGTTTTTTGAAGTCCTCCGTGTTTTCCACTGCTTAGTTGTGATGTTCCAGGGCTGCCCGTGGAGCTGAAGGCAGGGCTGCTGCACTTAATTTTTTTTCCCCCCGAAGACGTAAAAACAGACTACATGTGGGCTGTTGAACCTGAGTCTCACCTTTCAGCCTTCCAGCTGAAGCCAAACCTCAGGATTAATCTTTATAATTGAAAACAAAAATGTGACACACAAGTTTTTTCCGGGGAAAAAAAATCTTTTCCCTATTGAGGATGAAAGCGGGGGCATGATTTCCATCCCAGTCTGCTGCATGAGGCTGATTGCTGAAACCAGCAGTTTACCGTGGGACAACGCAAGGGGCGCAGCTGTGCAGGTCTGTGAGCAGGACAAAGCCCGTCAGCTTTGAGTTCATGGTGGTTTTGTTTAAGGAATCAAAATGGGCAATGTCCTCAATTCTGTCCTGGCTTACACCTAATTGGAGAACTTGCACACTACATTTTTCTGCTTTCTTGGGAAGGAACTGGGGTCTTGAGTTAACTTTATTTCATATACATACACCCCTGTTACCACAGAGTGTTCAAATTTAAAAGGCAAACCTACATTTTTTTGATTCACAAAAAAGACAAAAATCCCTTTTCATCTTCAGTATCTGGAAGATGTCAGCTCAAAATGCTGTCAGATTCAGGGGGGAAAAAAAAAAGGTAAATTTCATCTAAAATTGCCTATATTTTCATTCCAGAAATTATGTTATCCTCACTATTCTCATTTCATCATCATTTCTCAAAGCACTGTAATTCACTGTGTAGGGATCAGAAGCCGCATGATGCTGTATTTGTATCTCCTTGTATTTCTCAGGAAGTAATTTACCCCTAATGAATTACAATCAGTGCAGTTGTTAAAGTTGATATTTGAGGGTATACTTTAAACTAAACTTTGCTTTTCAGAGTATTTAGCGTGAAGTCTCAAATGGTCACAGGGCAGAAGTAGGGAAGTTCATGAATATGTCTTAGAAAAAACAATCTTCTTTTGAGTGTTTGTTGAAACTCAAGGTAAAGGCTGCCCTTGTGCCCTGTGGTACATCAGAGGGAACGTGTCTGGCCATGCTCCCAGCAGGTGCCAGCCTGTCACAGGCCCAGCTGCTGCCACGTGCCCTGGGCCACCTCTGCCAGGGTCAGGTACAAGACACTGGCCACGGGAGCGCAGGAGGGCTGAGGCAGTGCATTTTCTGTAATGTGAGGGCTGTGCGTGTTAGAGAAAAGTACATTTATGAAGGCAAGAAAGAGGGGGCCAAAGACCTATTTCATGCCAGGGGCACCATCCCGTCTGTTGGGCATGGGAGGGTTTTTTACATCTGTTTCAAATCACACCTGTATGCAAATGTGTGAAAGAAAGTAATGAAATCCCTCTCGCTCTGGGAGGGCACTAGGAGCCTCGAGGAAACCCCAGCTCCATGAGCAGAGACTGATGGAGCAAAGCACATAAGCACAAGCTATGCCCATTATGTGACTGTAAGGTGACGCTGGCATTTCACTCTAGTACATTTCACTTCCTAGTACTCTTGGCCTGGTCTGACAGCGTAGAACAACTCTGACTTTGTACTTGATCTTTCTCTAAACTGAAAGTGAACTACTTGGATTTGATGGAAGCATAAAATGTTCTGGCCAGCCTTTATTTTGTTTGAAGCATTTACTTCATGTACTCCCAGCCCTAGTTTACGTGTCTAGGAAAGATTGACCGATGAGCTCAGACCTCACTGGACTAAGATTAATTGTCTATTGCTAACTGTTTAAAGGGGATGAGTTGTTAAATTGCTCTGTCATAGCATGTTAAGTAAAAGTTAATATCTTGAGCAGAATGGGAATGAGACCATAGGACAGTTTTCTAAAGCTATAAAATTACATGTAGAGTGGAGGACTGACTTAAAACTAAAAATTTTAGAAAGAAAAAGAGCAAATTGCATGTGGAAATAGAATGGCTATTTGATCTGAAGTAAATTTAATACAACAAATCTAGAGTAATTTGAATATTGGGGTCAAGTACAGCTTTGTAGCTATGTAAGAGTTGCAGTCTGCTATTTTAATAGATACAGAAAACTAGTAGGCAAAAGTAGTAGGAAAACACAACTAGAGTTTGGAAGTAATATGTTTGAACATGCTATTCATAAGAATTAAATATACATTTAGACTTATATGCAAGCCCAGTAAGTATGCTTAGCAGCTCCAATACACTTTCAGTGTCGTGGCAGAATCTTTGCTTGTGTGATGGATTTTCTAGAGCATTGTAGATACCTCCTTCCTTCTCAGATGATACACTAAATACCTCCTCACCGGAACCTACTGGCCCAGCTCCTCAGCTTCAGACACTCTTTCTTTCTGTCTAAAAATCAAAATGGTTGGTCCCCAAGCCTCCTAAAACAGGTTTTCTTGAGAAGAGTAGGGTTTACTCAACGGAGAAATGTTTACCTTGTAACATGCTGTCTCAATCACACCTCTGTTTGCTCTTGCCCCAGGTGTATCATGCCATATGGAATTGTGTCCTTGAGGCTCTCCATGAGGATGCTGACTGTGAAGAACCATGGAGGTGTCAGAACTTGCAGAATGGGAAGAGGTTGCCTTGGAAGTGGACTGATCTTGCTGTCACGTGCAGGAGCCATGCAAAGTCTAACTCAGCAGCATCATTCCTCCTTATCACACTGAATTCAGCACTGCAAATCCAACAAGATTCAGTTGTCTGAAATTTTTTAAAGTTCAAGTCAACCAGGTTTTGTATTCTAACGTACAGGTGACAATCTCTGTTGTCTTAGCCTGTATTAAAATATACTATTAAAAAATGTAATTTTTTTGTGAGTACTGACCACTAGATCTCCTCTGTCAGAATATTACTGTGATATCAGTTGTTTTGGGTTTGCTTTTTTTTTTGTTTTTTTTTTGTTCTTTTTTATTGGAGCTTTTTGTCACCCTAGTTTTAGACATTGCTCACCCAAAATACCCTGACTGATAAAACCAAGTTGTTCAGTTTTCATTCTCTCCTTTTTCAGTATCACTTACGGTTTGCTTTAGTTTAGAAAAGCACATTAAACTTATTGGCAGCATTCCTTTTCACTGTGCTTGATGTACCTAATGATAAATGCTGCTTCACTTTCACTGCATGAAATAGATTCATGGTCTTTGTTACTCCTCATATATCCTGAACCCAGGACAATCCTACCAGAAGAAATAAGTAGGTGATAAACAAGACCAGTGAATGAGGGGGCTGAGATGGTTTGCCAGGCTGAGTCAGAACCTTTCTGGTATTGTGACCTCCAGGAAAGGATAATATGAAAAGGATGTCCTGTTTTTCCTGACCTGAAATCTCTCCAGACCTAGAATGGGAGGTTATTTTCAAAACCAAGTATGATTTATGTTGTGTGAGGTCAGAATTCAGCATTCTTTAATAGCCAAATTTTCCATTGACCTCAAAGAGAGCTTTGTAGGAGAAAGGACTGTGGGGTTCACAGTGATTTCTGTTCCTTTTTTACTAAGGAAAAGTCTTGGCTGGCTAACACTGTGCATTCATCATTTACAGAGTAAATGTACTGTTTAATATTAAAGAAATGATTCAGTATTTTAGTAGCAAAGTGCTTTCAGGTTATTAACTAGCATTATGATTTCTGTTCTACTGGTGTCACAAATGAAGTTCTGCAGGCTGGTCATTACCAATTACTAATAGATTGAGCCTTAAAAAGGCTCATTTTAATAACTTCTTACTATCCAGTTTTAAGTTTTTCAGTGCTGAGGGAAGCCTTGACACTCAGCATTGACCACTGAGCATTTTCCAGCGTTTAAAATATATTGCTTAAGCAGGGTTCTTACCAGTAGTAAGGTCTCCAAGACTGTTGATCCTTATGCATTAATTTATCATTTGTATCTTACATATAAAATTTTTCTTAATCAGTGTGTGATGCACAGTGATACATGTGGGTGACTCCAGCTGGAAATGAATCCAGTGGCATTTAGGAAAGATGCTCTTTTAGAACAAGTTTGCACACTGGAAGGTGAGTCAATTAAAAAGGAGAAGGGGGGATAGTCAAGTTAAATCTGTAGTTGACAAACATTTATTATTAGGATATATTAATATATTTAATGTTTAATTATGTACTGCTGTGTTCTAGTATTTTTTCCATGTACTTTAATACTTTATGAAACTTTTTAAAGTAAGTTGCTTTCTACAAATTTGCATCATAATTAGTAGCAAATACAGTGGCACCTATCATCCTAAGTATCAGAATATGAAGAGAAAACCAAGTTGGAGGTACCTGTTGGTTTCCAAAATACTGTTTTAATTCAGAAGAAAGGGCTTGACTGATTATAAGGGGTTTTTGCGAGGTGAGAAGGGCAATTCATCTTGCCTGGAATTAGCCAGGCACCCTCCTCTTACAAATGGTGACAAATGGTTCTTACAGTAACACTAGTGGGAATAAACTATTTACAGATAATGTGAAAAATGAAAGAAGATAAATCATTTCTGATAGTACAGCTAGAGAAATTTTAAGCCACAAGTGAAAACGGGTATTTATGTTGGTTCCAAGGAAGCCTTTAATAGCTGTCTATTTTCTTCCTGCTGTCTGGTATACACGATGCTGTAGAAACTTGCATGTTTTCTGTGATAGCAGTGTCTTTCAGAATTAAGATTTCTGGTCTGTTAGCAGGAGCACATGCATGCTGGGTGATGTGCTTGATTGTCTTGACATGCCAGGTGCCAATTCTACTGTCCCTGTTCAAGTGATAACCTTTTCTCCCTGTTGATAGCAGACTGGCCTCACCTTTATAGATTTGCTAAATTATTACAAAAATGATAAAATCTGACATTAAGATTTTTTGCATATTAAATTCAGTATCAACATAAACATAATCCCAGAGCAAATCTTTATCTAAGGAGGTTGGTAAAAATTTATCTCATTTCAGCCCATCACCTAGGCTGTCTCCCTTCCTGATTCTGTGCTGCCCTGGGAGAACTGCACATCAAGCTTGAGTATTGAACAGCCTGTGGGTACAGGTGCCCAGGCTGCCACGCCCACTGAGCACTTCTATTTTCCTGCTGCTTGTGCTGTGGTAGACTGCCTGCAAGGCTTCATTCTGAGTCTGGGCCTCTAGCCAAAATAAAAGCCAAAGACACATCAAAGGGCTTCCTCAGGGGATCACCAAATATTAAATTTAAACAGAACAGGGAGAAGTTTCTTTTCTGTAACCCAAGGCCAGGTATGAAGAATATTGTCAGAGATTAGTAAATCCTGGGAAAAGTATTTCCATTGGACAAATACATGTGGTTGCCAAGCTTAAAAAAAGGGCATCTAGGTAGCAGTATGCTGCAGGAAGACCTTCAACCATTAAAACTAGATTAACAGAGAAGGTGATAATTGCAGAAGGAGGTGGAATTATGTTGTGAATAATCCAAAAAGCATAGCGTTGACAAGACATGTTGAGAAGCGCAAGTGAGAGATTGTTTCGTAGAGCTTGACTGAGAACCAATTTGCACTTGGAGCAGGAGAATCACAAGGGAATTTGTGTGACAGAAACTGAAAGGGCAGTGGAATGACAGAGGTCTGTTGGTCTCTTAACCTGGTGCTTCCGGTGCTGCTGACCAGGTGTGCGGGGCTGAGCGCGGCAGGACCCGGGAAAGCACTGGCAGCAGCAAGAACACTGTGGTATGTTTCCTGAAATAGTGTGAGCAATTTATTCTGAGAGCAAAAATTGAAGTAACCTGTTCAGGAGGACCAAAAAGAGGAATTCTGAGAGTTTAAAAGCAGAAACAGAAATACAGTTTTTCTTGGGAATTTTCTGTTGCGTAACATTTTCATTGATTCTGTGACACTCAACACTGTTTTAATGTTCCAGATAGACAGTCAAGAGCCCTTTTTTGGCAGAAAGGGAATGTAATATAATCTAATCTCCCTGCAATCCCTTGGTTCTGTCAGTAAAAATGTGCAGTACCTGTGGAAGAAGCCTGGCTGGCTGTAGGAGATGGTAAGTTTGAGGTTCTGGTGTAAGCCAACATGTGAGCTATACACTGGCTTGTTTTGTTCACTGCTGATAAATTTGCTTTGGGCAGCAAACTAGGACCCATCAGACTCCTTAGCTCTGAGCACAGTAACCTGGGAAAAACATTGGGTCGCAATGCTGGATAGCAGACAGATCTCATGGATGCCTCTCTGCGTATAGAATTGGACGTTTAACAAGCTCAGAATCTGCCTCTTCCAGAGTAGGTGTTAATTACACTCTCAGAAATGTTACAGAGTGAATTTGCCCACTGATGAGATTGGCTCCTCTTGAGCAGTGTTGTTGTTGAGGTCTTCCTATGTCACTTACTCTTATAATCTGTCCTCTCTGTACAAAATACTACTCCAGATTGAATGGTCACCTTCAAATAAATTATCAGGAAAATGTGTATGAAAAAGAAATACAAAGGCTGTGAATCAGTCTTGATTCTTAACTTGCCAAAATCTTTGGAATCAAAATCAGAAAAAGTGTTTCACAGTGCTGGCAGAAATATGAAAGGCTCCTGAAGTTACTTGGTGGATAGTTTCAATACGTGCAGTTTGCTTATACCTTTCTTCTGCTTATCTGTCTGTTCATAGAAACTGCTGTTCTCTGTCCAAAGTTTTTCAGATGTTTCCATTCCTTATCTAAACTTTAATGATTGTTTTCTCTCTCGTCTGGAAAGTTTGGAGTGCCTAATCTCTTAACAAGCTAGCACACTGGTAGGTGAAGGTGCAACCTTTTTCTGCAGTATTACCAGCAGTGTAGTTATTAACATTGCTGAGGTGGAATTAGCATTGTGCAGCACTGGAGACATAACTTGCCCAAAGACAGAGACCTGTTCTTGCATAGGGTGCTGTCTTTTGTATTGAACTGTTATGCGTGAACCCAAGAACAAGCAGTCTTCACCTATTAGTGTGTCTTCAGACACTGTAGGTATGAGATTACATGAAAGTGAAACTATACTTAATTTATACAATTCATATTTACTTATATTTATTTTGAGGCAGCTTTGAAAAATTATAATACAAACACATGTGTGTTAATTTACCATTCAACAGGTGCAACGAAGTTTAATTCTGTGCTCTAGCCACAGACTATGTGGGTTTTCTGCAACCCTTAATACTGCAGATGCAGAATCATAGAATCATAGGATAGTTAGGGTTGGAAAGGACCTTAAGATCACCAAGTTCCAACCCCTGCCATCGGCAGGAATGCCTCACACCAGACCATATCACTCAAGGCATTGTGCAACCTGGCCTTGAACACCACCAGGGATGGAGCATTCACAACTTTCTTGGGCAACTCATTACAGTGACTCAGCACCCTCACAGTAAGGAACTTCCTCCTTATATCTAACCTGAACTTCCCCTGTTTAAGTTTTAACCCATTACCCCTTGTCCCATCACTACAGTCTCTAATGAAGAGTCCCTCCCCAGCATCCCTCTAGGCCCCCTTCAAATACTGGAAGGCTGCTATGAGGTCTCCACGCAGCCTTCTCTTCTCCAGGCTGAACAGCCCCAACTTCCTCAGCCTGTCTTCATACAGGAGGTGCTCCAGTCCCCTGATCATCCTCATGGCCTCCTCTGGACTTCTTCCAACAGGTCCATGTCCTTTTTATGTTGAGGACACCAGAACTGCACACAATACTTCAAGTGAGGTCTCACGAGAGCAGAGGGGCAGGATCACCTCCTTCAACCTGCAGGTCACGCTCCTTTTGATGCAGCCCAGGATATGGTTGCTTTCTGGGCTGCGAGCGCACACTGAATCCAGCTCATGTTCAGTTTCTCATGGAACAACACCCCCAGGTCCTTCTCTGCAGGGCTGCTCTGAATCTCTTCTCTGCCCAACCTGTAGCTGTGCCTGGGATTGCTCCGACCCAGGTGTAGGACCTTGCACTTGGCATGGTTAAAGTTCATGAGGTTGGCATCAGCCCAGCTCACAAGCGTGTCAAGGTCCCTCTGGATGGCATTCCTTCCCTCCAGGGTATCAACCGAACCACACAGCTTGGTGTCATCGGCAAAGTTGCTGAGGGCGCACTCAATCCCACTGTCCATGTCAGCGACGAAGATGTTGAACAAGACCGGTCCCAACCCCGATCCCTGAGGGACACCACTCGTTACTGGTCTCCAGCCGGACATTGAGCCATTGACCACAACTCTTTGTGTGTGGCCATCCAGCCAGTTCTTTATCCACCGAGTGGTCCATCCATCAAATTGATGTCTCTCCAATTTAGAGACAAGGATGTCGTGTGGGACAGTGTCGAACGCTTTGCACAAGTCCAGGTAGATGACATCAACTGCTCTACCCCGTCCATCAGTTCTGTAGCCCCATCATAGAAGGCCACCAAATTGGTCAGGCAGGATTTCCCCTCAGTGAACCCATGCTGGCTGTCACCAAGCACCTTGTTGTTTTTCATGTGCCTTAGCATGCCTTCCAGGAGAATCTGCTCCAAGATTTTGCCAGGCACAGAAATGAGACTGACTGGGCTGTAATTCCCCAGGTCATCCATTTTCCCCTTCTGGAAAATGGGGGTTATATTTCCCTTTTTCCAGTCTTCGGGAACTTTACCTGACTGCCATGATTTTTCAAGTATGATGGACAGTGGCTTAGCAACTTCATTCACCAGCTCCTTCAGGACCCGCGGGTGGATCTCATCAGGACCCATGGACTTGTGCATGTTCAGGTTCTTAAGATGGTCTTGAACCAGATCCTCTCCTACAGTGGGCCTCAGGTCTTCATTCTCACAGTCCCTTCGTCTGCCTTCCAAGGCTTGCGTGGTGTGGTCAGAGCCTTTGCCAGTGAAGACTGAGGCAAAGAAGTCATTCAGAACCTCAGCCTTCTCCAAATCCAGGGTAGCCAGTTCTCCCAAGAGCTTCCTGAGTGGGCCTATGTTGTCCCTAGTCTGTCTTTTATTCACTACGTACCTATAGAATCCCTTCCTGTTATCTTTCACATCCCTAGACAAGTTTAATCCTAACTGGGCCTCAGCTTTCCTAACCTGGTCCCTAGCTTCCCGGACAACATCCCTGTATTCTTCCCAGGCCGCCTGTCCTTGCTTCCACCTTTTATAAGCCTTTTTCCATTGAAGTTTCCTCAGCAGCTCCTTATCCACCCAAGGAGGTCTCCTGGCCCTCCTGCTGCACTTCCTTCTGGTTGGGATGCAACACTCCTGAGCTTGTAGCAGGTGATCCTTGAACATCAACCAACAGTCTTCGCCCCCCTGCCCTCTAGGGCTGTATCCCATAGGACCTTACTAAAGCAGGTTCCTGAAGAGGCCAAAGTCTGCTCTCTTGAAGTCCAGGGCAGTGAGCTTGCTGCACGCTCTTCTCACTGTCCTGAGGATCTCAAATTCGAGCATCTCATGATTGATGCAACCAAGGCTGCCCTGGAGTGTCACATTTCCTACCAGCCCTTCCCTGTTGGTGAGCACGAGGTCAAGCATGGCACCTCTCCTTGTTGGCTCCTCTATTACTTGCAGAAGGAAGTTGTCTTCCACACAATCGAGGAACCTCCTGGATTGCTTGTGCTGGGCCATACCATTGCTCCAATAGATGTCAGGGTGGTTGAAGTCACCCATGAGGACAAGGGCCTGCGAGTGTGAGGCTTTTTCCATCTGTCTATAGAGCGCTTCATCCACAGATTCCTCTTGATCAGGCGGTCTGTAACAGATCCCCACAGCAATGTCTCCCATTGCTGTTCTCCCTTTAACTCTGACCCACAAACTCTCTGTGGACTGCTCACCTCTCCCCAGACAGAGTTCCACACTCTCCAGCCTATCCCTAACATAAAGGGCAACTCCCCCTCCCCACCTTCCAGGCCTGTCTTTTCTAAAGAGCCTGTAACCTTCCATTCCAACACTCCAGTCATAGGAGCCATCCCACCATGTTTCTGTGATACCAATGGTATCATACCCCCATAGACATGCACACATCTCTAATTCCTCTTGTTTGTTCCCCATGCTACGGGCGTTTGTATGGAGGCATCTGAGCCAAGCTCCAAATGAACCCAGCTCATTGGCTGGAGTGGCTGGGATATCTCTACGTTGCTCCAGGCATTTATTGTAGGTGCTGGCAGCTGACTGGGAGTGCTGGCATGGAGTGATGCCCCCCTCCCCCAACACATCTAGTTTAAAGCATCCTTGACCAGCCTGGCAAGCCTCAAAACAGCTCCACCAGCCCCCAGTAGACCTGGCCTACAAACTTGGGTTCCGTGTTTAATACACCCAAACCTCTGACTATGGCACCACCCTTCTAACTATTTGTTAACCTGGCCAATCCTCCTGGCTTTTTTAGGGCCCTCCTCTGTATCCTGGAGAATTGACAAAAAGACCACCTGAGCTCCACAGCCCCTAACTACCTCTCCCAGGGCTCTGTAGTCCTTCTTTATGTTCTCCAGGGTACTGCTATCTATATCCCTAGCACCCACATGGATCACCAGGAGTGGGTAATAGTCCGTGGGACTTACTAGAGCAGGCAGCCTCTCTGCCACACCCCTGATCCGTGCCCCTGGTAGGCAACACACCTCCCTTGAGACTGGGTCAGGCCGGCAGATGGGTGCCTCTGTGCCTTTCAAAGCAGAGTCCCCTACCACTACGACCCGCCGCTTTTTCCTGGCAGCACCAGTAGAGATCTTCTTTACCAGTGCATCAGCCGGCTGTTCCTGGCTCGAGTGCATTTCCTCATTAGCCCCCAGCAGGACAGCAAAGCAGTTCTGCATGGGGACAACAGATTTAGGAGGAAGCCCCTTGCTTTTGATTGTCCTTTTCCTCCTTTTTTTTTTTTTTTTGGTTGTTTTTATGTCACTATTTCCCAGTTTCCTGGGTTAACGGCCTCCTTCTTTCCTCCATGAGCTATGATGGACGCTTGAGGCCCCTGCACAGGTTGGGCCAGGAGCAAGCAGAGCCGCTTCCTCTCAGCTTCCCTGACACCTCGCAGCCTACTGACAGCGTCCCGCAGCTCAGCCCTGCTGCAGGAGCACCTCCACCAGGGAGCACCGAGAGCAGCCCTGCCCACCGTGCCCCCTCCCCTCACCAGAGCGGTGCAGGCACTTTCTGCACCCCGAGCTCTGCACTGCAGCCTCCCTCCCCTCTCACCGGCTCTGTCTGGGTGCCTTCGCTGCCACCGCCGGGGCAGCCAGAGCAGAGCTCCCGGCCCGGGCCCTGCTCACACGCCGAGTGCTCACCGCCCCTCACGAGCGGCCGCACAAACCGCCCCGGCCCTCCCTGCTCGCCGCGCTCCCGGGGCAGGTTTTTACCCACCCAGGGCTGGTGCCGCCCCTCCTGGCTCCGCACCCTGTGAGTCCCTGCTCGCCTCAGCGGAGCTGCCGGCTCCTGGGCAGGTCCTGGAGAGGACTCGAGGCTCCCTCGGTGGCTCTCGCCGCTCTCAGTTGAGGCTCCTGGACGCTGAGCTTCGGCCCGCTGAGGTGTTGAAGGCGTCCTCTCTCGAGCTGCTCACCTCAGCATCTTATAGTGCGGGTGGGCAGTAATGCAATTCTCACAAGCATCCCTCTAAAGGAGTGTCTGTTGTTTTGGGTTGTTTTTTTTAATTTCATTTCCTTAATTTTGGACCCTCATTCCTACCGGTGAAATGGGCAGGTGTCTCTGTCATGCCTTACAGGAATGCTACAAGCACAAATACAGCCTGAGACCTGTGTATCAAACTTCTCCACAGAAGACTTGCAATTTGTCAGTTTGAAATTTCTCCCTGGGAAAAGGTTGATGCCACCATTGCTCACAGTGAGGAATGTGTGTGTGTGTACAGGGTAAGGGGAAAATCACTTTTTATGTTGGGTATGTAGATTACAAAGCCTTGTTGTAGTTTGAGTCTAGAAAGTCATTACAGAACCTTGTAGATGAAGAAAATATAAGCCTTCAATTCCTTGTGTTTCTGGGCAGTGAGCAGCAGGGCTGCACAGCACGGCGGCTCTTGTGGCCCCCAGTGTTTCAGTGTCAGGTTGCATGGTGCAGTTCCCCCTTGTTCATCAAACTGTACTGTGAGACCTCTGTTTTCAGATTTCAGTGCGCAGCTAAGCAGCTCGCTTTGAATATATAATTGGTTTTCCTGAGGGTATTTCTCATTGGCACTTTAAGAACGATTTAAATGTTTCTAACCTGCACATGTATTCTCATGCTTAAACCCCCTGTAACACATCTGTGTTTGCTGCAAGTTAAGTGTTTCTGGTTGGTTGTCAAGTGTTCTGGGATATCTGTTATTACTCATTTGTGGGTTTGCAGCTCAGATTACACTGTCTGTCTCAAATATATGCTGTGAGTTTAAATTCCATTTTATGTTCTTTTTGTCAGGGGGGTGGAAGGAGGAGCAGAGCAGGGAAATAGCAATAAGGTGTACCACTGTAGGAAAACATGCTTGTGAGTAATTTGAATGTAAAACTGGCACAGATTTTTCAAGATAAAATTTTGTCAATGTATTTTCAAAAGCTGTAGACTTTTACATTTTTATGTTTGTTTGTTCACTACTTTGCCATGTTCTTACATGTATCTGTAGCCATTCACATATACTTATCAGGTGTCATCTTAGGCCTCCAGCAGGAGAATCACTTAATTAATGCAAACCCTCAACAGGATGACCACTTGGAATTAAATTCTTTACTCTTGTTAAACTTCATACATGATTGAGTTCTATTTTTTTATCTTCAGTATTTCCATTAATTTACCACCAAAGTTTTTCTCACTGATTTTAACAAGTGAAGTGACCTTTTCAGCTGGTGTGCTCATGGCCATGTTCACTCAAGCATTAAAGGACCATTGCTTTCTTGTAGTACAAGTCCTTGTAAATGGAGATGTTAGAATTTTCATGTGAACATGATACCCCAGGGGACACTCTGGGTTGTTGTTCAGTACAGGTGAGGACCGGGAATGACAGAAGCTCTGTGGCCAGCATGGGGCACACACATGTAAAATTTGATGGGAGCCTGGAAAATGTTGCTGGAAGCAGAGAAGAGGTGAGCAGCAGTGGTGGAGGGGCTCTGTTCACACAAGAATCCAGCACATTACAGTTTATTCACTGCTCTGGGTTTCTTTTCTGACTGTTTCTCTACTATTTCTTCTTTCAACATGAATCTGTGATGGCTTTCCTGTTGCTTTTCCATGGCTGTACCTGATCTTGTATTAAGTAGCTTTCATTAAGAAGAAAGTAAAACATGTTTTATGTGTTCAGGTCTCTGCCAGCTGATCAAAGTATTCTGCAGAACTGTACCTTCCACAAACTGAGCCCAGACAAGGGACCCATGAGATTACACAAAAATTATTAATCATATTTGGCAAGGGACCCATGAGATTACACAAAAATTATTAATCATATTTGGCATCTATACAGTACAAAATTACGTGTATTCCATCAATAAGAAATTACCATATGGTATATATACCCTGCCCTCAGAATGTGCTGTATGCATGATCTTTGCTGGCTAGTCCTGAATGAATAATAGTAACAGATGCTGTCTCAGAAATCTGACTAATTCTCAGTGCCTTTTCATTTTCCTAATCTTAATTAAATCTGTGACTGAAGAGGACGCATGATGAGAATGGAAAAAAAATCACCATGTATAAATCAAAAGCAATGATATGAAATCAAGCTGAACAGGATAAGTGTGTTTCATATACAGGCTATTAAGGACATTCCCCCCCCCCCCCCCCCCCTTTTTGTTTAATCAGTGGGACAGTCTCACTGTTCAGCTCTGAAGCAAACAGAGATGGATTCTCCAGCTCACACAGAGATCTCTTGTGCAGCAAGAGCTGCACTGCATCTGCTTTTCTCAGAGCTGCACTGTGCTTCCCAGAGTTCCATCATTTTCCTTTCCATCCCTTCTCACTGAACCACATAACTATGAATTTGTGGTATGGTGCTGTATTGTTTGTAGGTTAAATCACACAGAAAATGCTAATTCCAGTGGATTAGGCTCATCTAAACCTGGCTTGAATGAGAGGACATGTAGAAGTCTGCAGAAGCTGCTTCTCATGATTTGACAATATCTTCAGATCAACTGATGCAACTTTTCTGCATGCTCAGAGCTGTCTGCTTGTGTAAATCAGGCACCACTGCATTAGTCTGGCTTGAATCCAGCACAAGGAGGAAGAGAGTTCTACCCAGTGCTGGGGTTTTGCCAAATTTGGGGAATTAGTACTGAAAGTGGTTTATTGTAAATCAAGCTGGTTATATGCTGTTACAGTAAGTAACAAGCAAAGTTCACTTGATAAACATTTAAGTATGGGAAGAGGAACCTAATAGCATCATGTGCAGTGGAGATCCTGGTTTTCCTGGGGCTCTGACTGAAGGTGAATTTCTCTTAGAGAGCTTCAGATGGGCCATGTGGTACCTGGCAAATATTTTGCTAGGTATTAGAATTCAAGCTGCAGCTTTCATGCATCTAGCGGAAGACTAATCCTTTATTAAAGTACCATAGGTAGGTTAAATTTTCCCCCTTGCAGATCCCCTCTATGCAGTCATATGAGGTATGGAAGCAGCAGCTGCAGTCTCTGTCACTCAGCAGATACATTACAAATGAAAGGGATTGATGTCTTGACCACTTTGTTCTTGTGTTGTTGTAGTGCAAACATCATATATTTAGTAAATATGTAAAGATACAAACACAACAAAGTCACTGAAGTTTGAGATCTCTGAATTTTTGTTTATGCAGATTCAAAGTCAAGTGTTGCCTGTCAGTATGTGTGACTGAATAAAGCAGAAATTTTCATGTCTCAGCCCAGGAAACATTAACAGTGCAGGGCTGGGGCTCAGGATCAGGAGTAAGAAGCATACAGGCTCCTTTCCAGCTTCTCCTGGTCCTAGGGAGAAGGCGCATGTGGCTGCTGCTAAATGTGTTTAAATGGGAATTGCATCATATTTCATAGCAATACCAGATCCAAAAGTAGTCCAAGGAGAAAGATCTTAAAGTAATTTAGTTTCTAGGGGAAAATTTAATTTTAAACATGGACTGTAATAAGAAATAAAATGACCATCAGATATGCATCATTTTATAATCAGTGTCAGCTTTGCTACTGCAGATTAACTGCTATTACCTATCTGCTGAAAGTCAAGGTTGAAAAGGCTTATTGTTGTTCAGCTGACTTCAAAAAAGCAATGTTATAGGAATACATATAGTATATTTTTACTGTTCATGCTATATTGTCAGTGCTGCTGTGTATCTATGTGCATGAGTGCTCGAAGGCACAATGCATTTGGACAGTGCCCTTAATGACAGGCTTTAACTGGGTCAGCCCTGAAGTGGTCAGGCAGTTGGACCAGATGATCCTTGCAGGTCCCTTCCAGCTGAAACAGTCTACTCTGTTCTGAATGCCTGTCAGAGTAGTTCCATTTCTTAATTGATCTTGAGTTTGGGAATAATAAGTTAATAAAAACATTTAATGTCAAGTTGCTAAGAAAAGTTTAAGGGAGGCTCTTCAGGCAGATTCATTCTGAGCTAGGTTTTCCTCTCTAGATTTTATGGAAATGTGGTAATACTAATGAATGAAAATCTGTTTCTGTAGTGGAAATGGTGTATGTTGTAATGACATATATTTACGGCCTGTTCTGCTGCTGTACTGCAAAGGGATTTCTTTCCAATGGTGAGAAAATGATTTGTTCTTTAGGATCCTGCACCTTTAATCTTTCTGAACTATTTTAGAGACTCCTCACTAGTGAGTGGAGAACAAGTCTGCAGAGGGGGTGAAGAGAATTTTGTGCCAGTTCAAATCATTCCAGCCTGGAACTATCAAAAGACAGATACCAAAGATGGATTTGAACCCAGTGGCTTTGTATTTGATAGAAAACTGTTTCTTTTGAAAAGTTTTCTGTTCTGTTTGTAATACAGACTGTAGATAATGAAAGACACAAACCCCATTTTGAATCACTGAAAGAGATAAATACAAACACTACATTCAATTTCAACTGTAATACTATCTCCACTCAGTGGATTTCTATTTTATTTATTTTTTTCCCTTCTCAAAACTTTTGAAAGATTCAGTCTTGTAGAAGTTGCCCCAACACTGCCTGCAAAGGAGGTGTGTGGTGGAAAAAAGGCTGGTTATCCTGGGACTGGGAGTTGATCCCATGGATGAGATTTTTCAGAAAACAACCCGCCCCAAAAAGGCAGTGACTCAAGGAATGTAGTCTTGCAATGGGCAGGGAAGTATGTGTTTCCACTTGAGCCATTTTTCTGAGTATTAAAGATAACTTTCTGCTTTTGTATTTGAGGAGCACCAGCTGACATGGGTATTGCTCTGGCTGCAGGCTGTGTTCCACACTGCCCTTCATCCCTCGCACTGAGCACATCATAGAATCATAGAATAGTTAGGATTGGAAAGGACCTTAAGATCATATAGTTCCAAACCCCTGCCGTGGGCAGGGACACCTCACACTAAACCATGTCACCCAAGGCTCTGTCCAACCTGGCCTTGAACACCACCAGGGATGGAGCATTCACAACTTCCCTGGGTAACCCATTCCAGTGCCTCACCACCCTTACAGTAAAAAACTTCCTCCTTATATCCAATCTAAACTTCCCCATTTGCACCCATTACCCCTTGTCCTGTCACTACAGTCCCTAATGAAGAGTCCCTCCCCAGCATCCCTGTAGCCCCCCTTCAGATACTGGAAAGCTGCTGTGAGATCTCCACATAGCCGCCTCTTCTCTGAGAAGGGGCTGAGCAGCCCCAGCTTGTATTCATACAGGAGATGTTCCAGTCCCTGATCATCCTCGTGGCCTCCTCTGGACTTGTTCCAACAGTTCCATGTCCTTTTTATGTTGAGGACACAAGAACTGGACACAATGCTCCAAGTGAGGTCTCACGAGAGCACCTTTTTTGTTAGGATCCACCAGTAGCAGAAATGGGAATATTGGCTACAGCTTGCTTGTATTTCTTATCCTGCCCTGAAACGCAAGATATTTGAACACTTTAAAATTTTTCCTTGAACTAAGATGTCTTTTAAGGTACTCAAGGTTTCTAAAGTTGTGCATACTTCCGTTGATACTATAAATGAGGAACTTCTTAGGCATAAATGTGTTATTTGTATGCAAGTTAATGTTGGAGAAATGTCTACTGGAGACATGTCACATTATGCTCAAAACCTCTGGAAGGAGCTTTTTAAGAGTTACTGAATTAAGGGCAACACATTTAAGCCAAGACCGAAGGGGCTGGAAGGGTGTCCCCACCAAGAGCTACTGTTCAGAGAGAACCACACTACAAGTGGTTCTCTCTGCAAGGTACCAGTTCTCCAGAGCCCTGTTTGCAGCTGTGGAGGGTTAGATACAAGAGTTAGTGACCTGGTGAACTTGTGTTTGACAGACCTGGGGAAGTGCAAAGATGTGTTAGAGCAGTGTCAGGGCCTGGTTCTTGGGTAGGTTCTGAGAGACTGCGATTCCAGTAAGAACAAATGAAATAAAGGAACTTTAAAAAGCAGACAGGCAGATGTTTCCAG